GCCTGATGTATTTGTAGTCTGGACTCATAGACAGTGTATATACTTGAATTCAACGCGTTGTTGATCTTTGTTGTGCTTGCCTTCTTTCACCATGCCCCCCAAGCAGCCTTCCATGGCCCTGCTCTTTCACCCAAAGAAGAGAAAGGATGGGAGGAGGATGGGCGAAGGCAACACCCCCGGCAAAAACACTGGCAAGGACGCTGGAAGGAAAGACGCTGGCAGAAAGGACACTGGTAACACCCCCGGCACCACTGGCACTGGCAACACCACCGGCAACACCCCCGGCAAAGACACTGGCACCCCAGACCCCCCAGACGACGATGCACTCCGTCTCCCCACAGGCCCCTTTCAAGAGTTCAAACTCATGTCCTCGGCCCTCAACGGCTGGAAATACGACGTCATGAAGTTCGACTCGCGCAAGTCTGTCGATCTCCTCCGCTGGAAGCAGCCCATCAAGCTCAACCGCAAGGAACTCAGGCACGACGACGAGCCCGGCGACGGCGTCCCCCTCGCCGTCGCACCCATGCTTGGCCCCGACGGCAAGCCCGTCATCGGCATCGACGGCAAAATGGTCATGGTCGACGCAGAGGGCCGCCCCATCCACGCACCCGACGGGCCCTCCAAGGGAAAGGCGCCCGTAAACAACCCCAAGAAGCGCTTCCAGAAAAAGACGAGGCAGGTGTACGTCGTCCCCGAGGACGTGCGCCAGCTGCGGAGAGAGGAGCGGTACCCGTGGGTCATGGAAGACTCGTCGCCCACCAAGGAGGAAGTGTGGCATGCGCAGATGGAGGACGTCGCGAAATCCGACACGCACGCGCTCTTCATGCCCGCCGTCAACGACGTCTTCAAGTTTGTGCCCACGCACCGCTGGTACAAGTTTCAAAAGAAAATGAAGCACGATCTCCCGACCGACACTGCAAACGTCGAATCAATGGTATCGGGTGTTTGTCGTGCGCTACCACCGCTAATACTGTCTACAGTACAACCAGCGCCAGAAACGCGGAGACGCGTGGATCGCATCGCGCAAGAACGTCTCTGCACAGACAGCGGCAATGTTCAAAGCCGAGGCCGAGGGCCGCACGGTCGACGGTGGACTCGTACATAGTTCCGGGCAGAGTCTCGGTCCCGGTGGACGCAAGCTCAAGACGGTCGACAGCGGCATGAACGGCCTCTTTGATGACGACGAAGACGGCGACACGAAGAAGCGCCGGGAAAAGGAAATGGGCGGAGAGGGTGACTTGGACGAACAGGAATACGAGGAGGATTTCGCCGATGACGAGGAGCCGATGGAGGCTGACCGCGACGACGAGGAAGCCAAAGAGCTCGAGGCATGTCCGGCTCTGTTGTATGCGGAAGCTATTGACCACTGTTGCAGGAGCGGCTGAAGCGCGAGTACAAGGCTGCCAACAAGCAACGCGAGGCCGGCGTTGATGAATCCGACGACGACACGCCAGTGCCTGGCATGACGAAGCAGGCCAAAGCGATGCAAAAACTGATTCGCAGCCGCGAAGGCAACGATGCGTATGACAGCGACGAAGAAGAGAACCCGTATGCGAGCTCGGTGCGTGTACACATTCTACCTATTACACGAGGGTCTAATCGTACACTAGGTGGAAGAGGAGGAGGAGGAAGAACCCGTTGTGCAGACAGGACCTGCTGTCCAGCCGCAGCCCCAGCAGGTCGACTCGCGGTCCTCATCACAGCCACCGAAAAACGGACAAACCCACCCGCAATCACGGGCCGCATCACCAGCGGCCTCGCCAAGTCTCGGTGGACATTCTGTTGTTGCCAAGCGCGCCACGAGCCCGAAGCCGCCTAAACCAAAGCCGCACGGGAGCACGCCGCTGGGCAGCCGCGCGACGAGCCCCGCTGCGTCTAGCAGCCGCGCTACGAGCCCCGTCGCAGGGAGCCCGCCCAAGGCGACGAACAAGCGCAAGGCGGTCGACGAGCCCGCGAACGGCGCTCCCACGCCAAATGGGGCTTCGGCAACCGCGAGTCCGTTGCCGAAGCCCAAGAAACGCAAGGCGGTCGCGGGTGCAGGTGCAGGGGTCGCGCCCACGAATGCCACGCCCGAGCAGCTCAAGGCGATGTTGATCGAGTGGCTGGCGAGCACGCAGAACGCGACGACGCGGGAGTGTATTCGCCACTTTACGCCGTATCTCACGGACGATGACAAGAAGACGCAGTTTTCGGGGCTGGTGAGGGATGTAGCGCAGTTGAAGGGCAAGGTGCTTGTGTTGCGGAAGAGGTTCCAGGAGGATGGGTCTGCTGCACCGTCGCCGGCGGCAGGAGCGTAGAGTGTATGATAGATACGTAATGACAATCATGATTGCGGCGAGACATGCCCATGCGAGGAACAGCGGAAAAACAAAGGAAAAAAGAAATGGTATGTTGATCGGAAGCGGAGAGATAAAGATAGACATAAGAGAGATTCGAGGAATGGGATTGAGTCCGGCTGGGCAGGACCTTTCTTTGACCGGGCGCCCTTAAAGGCGAGTCCTCGATCCGCCTAGCACTTGTCCCCATGCTCATGCTCTGGTCCACCCTGCTCTTCGCCCTCCCCCTCGCCCACGCCGCACGCTTTCGCGTCCCCCCCAGCGACAGCGACAGCGACCACGCGCACGCGCACGCGCTCGAGCGACGCCTGCCCACTGCCTGGTACCAGCCCGACCACCACCCCGTCCACGCCCTCTTCAAGCGCGCGCCCCCCACCAACGACTTTCCCCAGGTCGGCACGCCCAGTAAGCCCGCGATCTCTACCCCGCAATCCATCTAACGCCTTGCCCTCTAGCGTGGTCCGCGGCGTACCCCGCGTCCTCGCCCGACGTGAACCAGCTCCCCCAGTCGTGGGTCGCAGCCCTGAACAACGCTGTCGCTGCCGGTAAAATCCCTGATGTCCCCCAGAGCAAAAACACGCCAGGCACGAACCCCGTGTACCCGGCCGGCTCCAACCCCAACGGCCCGCAGGTGTGCTCTGCGACGTACAAGTGCAGGATCCCAGGCGACATCTGGGACGCGCCCGATAACTATTTCGCCGTCTCGTTTGACGATGGGCCCACCCCCGTGCGTGTGCTATTGTTTTTTGTCGATTGATCAAATGGGGACGTGTGAGATTGAATTGGATTGTCAGGCATCGCCCCGGCTGTTGCAGTTCCTGCAGGGGAAAAACCAGTCAGCGACGCATTTCATGATCGGCGTCAATATACTCCAGAACCCCCAGCTGTTCTTGGACATCTTCAATGCGGGGCATGATATCGCTGTACACACGTGGACACATCCTTACATGACTACACTCTCTAACCTTGAGATCGTGGCACAGGTGAGGAGCTTCGAGCTGCTGCCACTACGCGTGCCTGAGGCTGATCTTTCTTGACAAGCTTGGGTGGACAACAGAGATTATCAGGAACTCTACCGGGGGCCGCGTCCCGAGATACTGGCGTCCTCCTTACGGAGACTCTGACATGAGAGTGCGCTCAATCGCAAAAGAGGTAAAAACAAAAAGCTTCTTCTTATCGCGTCCTGTGCTGACCTCGTTGTCCTAGGTCTTCGGTCTCGAGACAGTCATTTGGAACCAAGAGTGAGCACACGTCTCCTCTGCGCGCGCGCGAGCTTTTCATAACCCTGCTCTTCCAGCACGGAGGATTGGAGCCTGACCTCCGTCAACGGTACCACACCACAGGCCATCCACAACAGTTTCGTCCAGTGGCTATCTGGTGAGTCACACCCACCCCTGTGATCGATCCGCGCATCGCGGTCCGCTCACGATTTGATATTAATCTCGTCACCAGGCCCAAAGTCTCCAGGGATCATCACTCTCGAGCACGAGCTGAGCGACATGTCAGTAAGCGCCTTCATGGACGCCTGGCCCCTGATCGGTTCCGCGGGCTGGAAAACTGCGTCCCTCGCCGACGTCATCGGGGACAGCGCGTACCAGAACTCGGACGACTCGGATTCCCCTGTCACGTCCGATGATGTAGTCGCAGGTACCACTGTGCCGGTTTCCCACAGTTCTAGCAGCGCTCAAGCTTTCGTAGGCCAAACGACGGCAGCGCCCAGTTCGTCGTCGCCGTCGCCGTCGACGCAAGTGGCGTACGTGTTTTTTCATGTCTTGCGTTCTTTCGAGTGCTGATTTCTCGGCTGTGATCGTAGGATTGCAACCCCTGCTGTGTCACCCACGACTCCGACAGTCTCTGCCGTTGTACAGAGTATACAGACCTCCAACGCAGCCTCTCCCCTAGCCATACGCAGTCAGCCATGGGGTCTGTTCGCTGCTCTCATGGCCGCTTTCTCGGTCTTGGCGTAAAGACCATGGACTCCTTGGACTCTTTTTTTTTTTCCTTTACGGACACGAAGAGAGTAGCACCTTCTCTCGGATGGACTCACGAACACACCTTTGATTTTGACGCGCATTAACTGTCGGGCAAAGCGCTGACTTTACTTCCTACATAGAACTCATCTTTTCGGTTTTGTGTTGTTACTAGTGCCACCTACCTATCCCACTATACCTTTCTCGCAGATACTCTCCACGACATACGCACGTACACCTCCACTTGCTCGAAATCCAATCTAGCATACTACTCACCTCTATATCATTCCTACGACTACAAACATAATTGTGGGTATACCATTAGCGGAAGAATGCATTTATCATTTTCCAACTTTACCCCAGTCGCGATTGGGTATCATGGTTTAGCCTTCTCGTTATCTCGAAGTTTATTTAACCACGAACCAAGCTTGTCAAACAGGAACAGGAACGGTCTATCTGTCGATCTTTTAATATCAACTAGACAGCAGTTTCATCTTGAATTACACGTAAAGTTTCACCCGCACTCGGCGGGACATTTGTGAACCCAGAGTAAGTGTAAAAGTGCAATTCCCGGGCCGATATCCATGTGGCGCAGCCCGGACCGAGGAGAGCGGTTCAATAGTCGGTCAGATATTCAACGACAGGTGAAACAATGAAGCGAGGAAACAAAAGAAAGGCAAAGCCTTCAACATTATAGCAGCAACTTGTTTCGATCAAGTGACCTCGGGGTAACACATGTAATATGGGCCCCGCGCGCTTCCAACTGCGCCATGCTGCTGTGTAGGATT